CTCGGAATTTTGATTTAGATATGCAAGATTAAAAGGAACGAAATGTGATAGGTAACGGCTACGTTTTATCTACATGTTTACTTTGGATGAATCGATTTAATTACTCTTCTGCGTCACTTGCTCTTCATAATGAAGTAACTTTAAAAATCCGCGAACACTCTGCTGAATTCTTGATGAAATCTATTCAGACTGGGGAACCACTAAGGAGGATCTGGTTTCACATTCGGGTTTGACGAGTACTCCGCAGACGAGACTCCTATGCCTTCCTGCTTTGCATGAAATGCAGCCAAAGCTTTAATGTACAAAATGATACGAAGTTCTAATACAGGAAATGCAAACAATGTTGATATGAATCTTTTAACTAAACTTTTAAATTTCGAGACTAACTAATTTCTGGCTAACAACTGTCATTCTGACTTTTGTAACATTTGCTGTTCAATTTTTCTAATAGCGTATCTAATGCCATAAGAATTTTTTAGACTTTTTAGACTAGAATAAAAGAAATGTTGAAATTGTGATTAATTTTCCTCTTTTTTTTATTTTTTTTTATTTTTCTCTGATTTCGTCTGAGACCGATCATCAAAATATGTTCATTAAAATCCAAGTACAATGAGTAGTCATAGTTTGCATATGAAATTTCGACATATCAAGTTCGGTTTTAACAAACGACGATTTGGAGAATGCCCTAGCATTTTGTCCGCGTTCGTGATGGTCTCGCTTTGCTCGAGAACCTGCTCTATCCGGCTCTCGTTATAGCGGCGGCTGTGGCGGCGCGAGAGGGGTCAGAGTTTGGAGGGCGACGAAATTGCGAAGGGGATCGCCGGAGGGGGTGAGAGCAAGAGAGAGACAGAAGAGGGACTGGAGGGTGGCTTGATCCGAGGGTGGCAACGATGCTGGTCGTGATGGTGGGTGGTGATGGTATTGGTGATAGTAGTGATGGTAGTAGTGGCTTTGGCGGTGCACGATGGTAACGGATGGTTACCGGCCGCCGAGCCTTGGATCACACACGCTGAATGACGTCTTACTGGTCGAATCGAACCAGGGGGGATCGGGAACTACTAAACAGGAAGAAGAAGAAATCGAATGACGTCATTCTCCAGCGTTACCAGGATACCAAGATTCGAAAGGCGAAGAAGGCACGTCGCTGCTGCGCAGCGATCTCAGGACGCGCGATTAATAAAGATTGGAACTTACGACGCTTCGTAATTTGACAATATTATTTTTAAAAATCCTAAATTAAACGCATGCCTAAAATCCAAACGAGTTTGTTTAACCGATTGAAAATTATAAAATCACTAACAATAAAATTAATTTACAAACTTCACATATACTTTTTTCGACGCCCACGCCTATGGCTTTCAAAATCTTTAAGGTTCAAATCTTTAAGGTTCAACGAAACCTTGAAAATGAACATACCATACATACTATACAGAATAACAGATAATAATAGAATTTTGTTTTCATATACCTGACTCTCTTTCAATAGCTCTTTCAATGCTTTATAAAAAGGAAAAATAAAAACCAACAAATTTTTTATCTTCCTTTTCAAATTCTTAGAGACAATATTTTGTAATTAATAGTGCACAATTTTAATTTTCCTCTCAAATATGACAAAATTTAATCTTAAATTTGTCTACAGTTCGATTTCCGATCTAAAAACGCAAAAAGTCTAAGTTTATTCTACGAAATTCAAGTGAAGTAAGTATGGAAAGAAGCTGGACAGGATTTTCCTCGGAGAGAAATGACCTGGTCTTTCCGCCATAATGGTATCCTCATCATACACAAAGAAAACAGCACGCATACTAGGTGTGTGTAGCGTGTTCATGTGAAAGGGTGGCGCACACATGTACACATGAACGTACCCACATAGTTATCCACACTCATGATCACGTAGTCCTTCGCAAGGAACGAACAGATCTTTCCTGAGAAAGGTTCTAAATTCAAGGTCTTCCGAATTATATTGATAGTCGAAAATTTTATCGGGAAACGATCATTTGGAACATAGCTAAGTAATATTTTTGAACCGTTGAAATCCAATAATGGGTTTTTACCTCTTTTACAAATATTCTTTGTTATTAAACTCTATTAAACTCAAATTAAGTCTCTCTCTCTCTCTCT